TCAGATGTTTTCATTATGCCACCCGATGCAGCTGGGTTTGATTCCGTACCCTAGTAGAATGAGGGAGTTGGGTACATCAATATCCAACCAGTTTGCACCTAATCTAGTAAGATAGTTCCCAAACTGATTCATAAATGAAGATGGAGCTTTCCCAGAGTTGAGAACATACCATGTTTTCCAGAATACTTCTTTCCCCTTCCTCCAGGATTCACATAGTTTTTTGTCTCTGCACCAGACCTGTTTAGTACATTTTAAAGTTGCACCTTTCCTGTTTTTTCCTAATGCTGTTGTGGAAAATCTGCCCTGTTGAGTTTATGATTACCAGACGCATGACTGCTGTTTCAGAGGCAGTGCGTACTCCTACCTGTTGTTTGGAATATACTAGGGCCTGCTGAATCCACCATGGCATGCAGTGGTACACTGCTCCTGGTTTTGCTTGTCCTCTTCTCTCTTGCTTCCTGACTTTTCCAACATGTTTGAAATGTATCAAATTTCTTTGGCTAGTGAAAAAGCCCAAAGCATATATAGGTGGTGTGAATTCTTTTTATAACACCCATAAGGCTCTTGTCAAAGGCATAGTCATGTCTGCTTTATACACACGAGTGTGGTTTCAGCTGAGATCTGCATTGCTTGAACCTGAGCCTTAAAACTCTTTGGGGAGAACTTGAATAATCAAGGGAGATGGGAAGGAGAATGGCCTCTTTCAAGACCCACCTTCCAGTTTCACAAGTTAAATAAAAAGTCATTGACAGGGTTGAGAGGTAGGCCCATGTAAAATTCATGAAGTTCAGGAAGGCCAAGTGCAGGGTCCTAGGCTGGGTTAAGTGGATTGGGGAAATCTCAAGCGCAAATACAGGCTGAGTGGAGACTGGATTGAGAACAGCTCTGAGGAGAAAGACTTGGGGGTGATGGTCAATGAGAAGCTCAACATGAGCCTTCAGTGTGCGCTTGCAGCCCAGAAACCAACCTGTCCTGGGCTGCATCACCAGCAGTGTGACCAGCAGGTCAAAAGAGGGGATTCTGCCTCTCTACTGTGCTTTGATAAGACCTCGCCTGAGCCCTGGAACCCAACATAAAAAGGACATGGAGCTGTTTGAGCGAGTCCAGAGGAGGACCTGAAGATGGTCTGGGAGCTGGAGCACCTGTGCTATGGCAACAGGCTGAGATTTCTGGGCTTGTTCAGCCTGGAGAAGAGAAGGCTCGAGGGAGACCATACAGCAGCTTCTAGTGCCTAAAGAAGCCAGAAAGGAACATGGAGAGGGGCTTTTGACAAGGGCCTGTAGAGACAGGGCAAGGAGGAATTGCTTTAAACTGACAGAGAGGAGATTATAGGAAGTTCTTCCCTGTGAGGATGGTGATGCACTGGCACAGGTTGCCCAGAGAAGCTGTGGCTGCCCCATCCCTAGCAGTGTTCAAGGCCAGATAGGATGGGGCTTGGAGCATCCTGGTCTAGTGGAAGGTGTCCCTGCTTGTGGCAAGGGGTTGGAACTGGATGATCTTTAAGGTCCCTTCTGACCCAAACTATTCTGTGATTCATCTGAGAGACTCTCTGTGAGTCGCTTGGGTACACACAACTTAACAATTGTTCTTGCACTCAGCCCAGCTTTGTTTAAGATTTCTATAGCTCTGAAATGTAAATGTGGAAAAGTAACTAAAATACGTGTTACCCTTTAATTATGGATGTCACAGCTCTCTTACTCTAAAGCTATGAAAGAGGCTTTCATTCCCTGCACTAAATGTTTCTTGAGGTGTTAAGAGTTTGAGTTTTAATTTTTCAAGAAGAAATTAACTGATTAGTGTCTTGATTTGATGAAGCAAAAGAGTAGTTGATTGTGTTTGCCTAGTAATGACTGAAGCTAGAAGCAGGTTAGCAGTAATAATGAGATCTTAAATCTCATTGAGCTCAAAGATTTGTGATATATCTCCAAAGTTTGACAGTGAGCCACTTCTGCTATCTTTTAACTTCTCCAAAGTTTCATGCTGTCTGAAAAAAACCTTGGTGTAGGTGAAAGAAATAATAATACTAGGCCTCAAGCAGTGAGTCCTTACTACAAGATGAACTAATTGGTGTTTTGGATGTGAAAGCTTATCATCTTGTTGCATGCTCATTCTGCATGTTGTTCAGGGGCAGCAAGAAGGCTGCTTACGTAGGAGACACTGAAACTAGTAAAAGTAAGGGTGAAGTCCTTGTGTGATCATATTAAAAAGACCAGGAAGATAATTTTTCTATAAGGCTAACCTGCTTTAGTAATATTAAAAACTTAATGGCATAGAAATTACCATGATATATTAGCCACTACTGAAAATCATAAGATTCCTCTCTCAGCCTACTGGAAGCATTAAAGAAATCAGAAATCATAGAATTACACAATGGTTTGAGGATGGGACCTTAAAGGTTATCTGTTTGCATCCCTCCATCTTCCACTAGACCAGGCTGCTCAAATCGCTGTACGATCTGATCTTGAACACTGCCAGGGATGGGGAAGCCGCAGCTTCTCTGGGCAACCTCTGCCAGTGCCTCCCCACCTTCACAGAGAAGATCTTTCTCATATCTTGTCTAAATCCTCCCCTCTTTCAGCTCAAATTGGTCAGAGAACATGTGTTATAATGGAGCCAGAAAGTGTACAATGTGCTATTAAAACAGAATTTAAACTATTTCTTCAGCTAGAAAGAGTTTCTGTTCAAGTCTTTTGCCAAGGTAACTGGGATAAGTGTCCTTATGGCTATCTAGATATATAACCCTGCTTAGAGGCTGAATATTTCATGGGATGCCATGAGCTGATGTAGCAGTTGGTTTCTGCTGGGAGAAGGTCTTAGTCTTCTGCCTGCTATCTTCATCTCCGTACCGGCCTACCCACTTGTTTGCGTGGCCTTTGATGTTCTCAGAGCTTTTACTGGGCTGATGTAGCTTTCCATAGTTTCCAAATACATCAGTTTTTCTTGTTGGTTAGTTTTCTGCTGTTTTAAGTAACTTGAAGTGACTTACAGAGGAGTGTGCTCAGCACGGTAGGGTGGAAGGTGAGCAACAGGCAGAGGTAGCCAGAAGGAAAGACTGAGACCTCCCTGTTTGGCAATAGCTGTTAGGTTGGCTCACCACGTCTTCTGAAACCATGCTGTCTGCAGAATGCCTGGGTGAGGAATTTTAACCTCACCTTTGCGATGACAATAATCAGAGAAGGTGTGTTGTACATGATAAATTGTCTTTGAATCTTTCTTTTTCTCTGTGAGGGTGTATGACTTTGAGGAGCTATTATATCCTGTCTGTGTGCTTTCCTTAAAGGTACTTCACAAAGAGAGGTTTAATGAATACCAGATTGAGATCACTGGGCAGTCATAGACGTGAAACCTGCCAGCAGCGTTCTTTTTCAAGAGATAGATTGAAAAATGTGATAGAGACCATGCTGCTTATATAGACAGTATACATACCTTATGCTTTGCATAAGGGAGGTAGCGTGTAAAAACCTTCTTTAGTTGCTGAGGAAAAGCAGGTCACTGCAATACAGAATGTTAATCACTAACCAGCCAGTCCAAGATAAAGTGACTTGTTGGATATGGGATGTATAAAGAATATAATTTCATCTGAGCAAGCACGTATTGCATATTAATGATAGGTAAATTTTCTTTCAGGGTGTGGAGAGAAATTAAAGTAAACACTGGTTTCTGAAACTTGTCTGCCTCTTCCTTCTACAAAAGTACAGTTTAATAACATAGGAGTGGTTTTGTTCAGATGGATTTCGGTTTCATGTGACTGCCTGCTATGACCAGGAATCATATAATCATTTAGGTTGCAAAAGGTCATTGAGTCCAACCGTTAAGAGTCTTGAGCTTTGGCTGTTCTTTCCAAAAATGTCAGTGAAAGAAATCTCCTCTTACCATGTTATTTCACAGTAGCAAGAAGTCTGCAAGGTGCTGTACAATAATTAAGATCTGTGGTCTTTGCCCGAGAGATTTTCAGTCCGAGTTTATAAGGTGCTGTAAGGTGAAAGAGCAAGTACAGGTGACAGCGAAGGAAAGAGCAGAGATGAAGGAGGATGAGGATTGTCATTAACATGATTACACAGGATATTTTGGTGATTCAGCTGAGGTGCTGTACTGTATGGAGGTTATTCAGTGTAGCCCCTCATCATCATGGTGTGTGAGGGCGGTGCACAGTGCTTGCTGGGTGTGATTAGTGTGTCATGTTTATAGGTATCGGCTCTTGGGTGTACTTTCCAGGTTTAACATCAGAGTGTAAGGACATAGGACTAGATTTGTTTGTGTCCAGGCCTCTATGTCTGTAGGCGGTGACTTTGACTGCAAGCGGCTGTGTGCTTTTTTATACCTAACTCCATTTGTCACTGGGTGTTATCTGAAGCTTTTGTTTTCTCCACCTCTATGGCTCAGAATTCTCATACATTCCAAATATTCTAATTACTCATAGCATATATCCCATTGCTTAATGTCATGGGGAAAAGTTGGACTTTTCAGCTGGCTGTGAGCCTGTAGGGAAGGATAAGCTCTTTTCTACATGGTTGCACCTACATTTTTTTTTATGGGACTTGAATTTCTCCAAGCAGGTGCCCCCGGACTGACAGCTGACATGGTATGCTGCAGTATCACAACAGTGGCTAGGGAAAATGTGCTGCAGATGGTAGGGGCAGCTTTCCCTCTGAATGTGTGAGGCACTGAGGGAGCAATAAGAAGAGCTGTCAAAGTAATACCATGCCTAATGGTTCTTTCCCTGGAAGAAATTTCATACTGCCTTGTATATGTTGATTGTACTTCAGTAAAACCAAAGTGCTTTTTCTTGTTTTGAAAGGAGTGCATGCTTTAAAGCTGGAAAGGATCCATCCCATCAGAATATCTCTAGAAGCAGAATTTGGCAATAGTCCTGTTTCTATTCTCTAGCTGATGGGTGGCTGTCAGACTGCATGAATAAATTTGGTGTCTGGAGGAAGTAATGGTGTATGTAATCCTGGTGCTTTAGGAGTAGCACTTGACACTTTCTCATTTCTTTATAGAGCTTGATCTGCATACAAAATGTGTGGTGGATGTGGATGCAAACAAGGTTATTCTTCATCCTGTAAACACCAACCTTTCAAAAGGAGATGCCAGGTAAGATTTTTGAATGAGGAAGGTCAGGTTTCATAAATTAAATATGAGTCTAACAACTAGGAAATGTAGGCCTTGATAGAGGGCTTTCTGTTTAAAAACTAATATATATTCTTTCTACAATATAATTGCCATCATCTATAAAATGAGGCTGATTTTACCATGCAGGGAGGATGCTTTGAGAACTTAATGCTTACTGCATTTGCTTCCTGCTCTAAACAATATGTTAGCAATTAATGGGTCTGTGAACAGTTTCGTTTATTCTCATGTGTTATTATGGAACAAGAGAAATTTAAATCTGCAAAAGAATTTGAGCAGGGCACAGTTTGTCATTTTGGAATGAAATTAATTTTCACAATTATTTTCTCATAATGGGCTTGTATTCCTTGTGTAAGAAGGGGAGCGGGAACCTGCTGGGGAGGTGTAGCTTTAGGAGTGTCTTAACCATTGCATGCATCAGAAATACTTGGAAAGGTGGCTGAGGGTAGGGACAAATTTCGTCAGAACTGACATCAATTTGTTAAACTACTGTGAAACTGGAAAGTTCTGTAATAACTGATAAGGTTAAGGTTGTGACTACTGAATTTATTGCTTGTTTGTGAGAGGAGGAAATGAAAAAATATATGCAGAAACAAAATAACAGGTGCAGGAAAAGGCAAAACCTGGTACTGGACATCTACAGTCAACTGTGATCTGCTTTCTGTGGGGGAAAAGTCAAGGAGGTGGTCTTAAGGGTGACAGAAATGAGAACAATTCAGTTAAACACACACAGAAGAGTTTTGTATAAATGCAGCATATCGTATCTTTTTACTGTAAAGCTGAGATGTATGTTAGTGGTCAGTAGAAATATTCTTTACCTGTTCTCTGATAATTTAAACTTCTCAAACCCAGGTAATAGTAAATGGAAAAGCAAAGAAATCATCAGGTCACCAGCTGAAAGACTTACTACAGATGGTGCGACTGGAGCTTTAATAAGTTACTTAAAATCAAACAGGCTGTGTGTGGTTGGGGTGGTTTTGTTTGTGTCAGTAGCTGCCTCCTCTTGAAACACGTGTATTGTTTAGCTGCCAAATACCTATGTTGATTTGAGCCTTTAGAACTGCTAAAAATGGCAGGAAATCGAGATTCTTAGAAGCCTAGTCAGCCAGAGCTGCATTAAAAATGTTATTCAGAGTTTCTCTCAAACATGGCAACCAATCAAATGCTCCATGGGTTATAATCCCCAATATGTGTTTAAAAAGTGTTCATACTGCAGTCACGAGAGAATACGTCATGCAAATCATGCCCCCTGGCAAGGGAGGAATCAGTTGGCAATTGCCTTGATATCCCAGACAAGATGGTGAGCCTAGTGTGAGAAAACAGCATGCCAGACCGAAGAATGCTTCATTTGCATATCCACAAATACCCATTGCTAATCTAAGCAGGAAGCATAGTAAATTTATATTGGGTGATCTAACAGAAGAAGAAAAAGTGGGGGCCCATTAATTGCACTAAAGGCTTGCCTGCAAACAGTGAGGCAGCATAACTGCAAAACATAATTGGAGTAATAATGATTTGGAACCAGGGTCCTATCTAACATGTAACACCCTTGAGAGAGGCTTGTCTTGGCTTCTGCCATGCCATCAGAGGAATCTTAAATATGAGTTAAAGGAAAAGGCTGCAGTTCTTCTAAGTTTGGTGGTTAATTTATACTCAGCTTCTTCTGTTTCCAAATCCACTGTCAACAGCTTTGCCTTGTGCTATGAAATCATCCAATTTGATTTCAGACTTGTCTAGTGTCTAAAGTGAGCTGAAAGAATACTGTCAAACCTGGAGTGCTTTTAATTAAACAGAGAAAAGTAAATAATATTGCAGATACATTCTTTAGATGCTTGCAAACCGGGGTAAGTTTGAAAATCTTAAAAGTTTTGCTGCATTTCTCATTAAGATGCCATGGTCAATATAGGAACTGGAAAAAGAATATTAGAAACAAGAATCTGTGCTGTCACATCCCCACTTGTTATGACTCAGCCATGCTCTGGCAGGGAGTGATATTTGGAAAACATCTGATGACTTCTGGAAATAATGAATGTTTTCCCACTTCTGTCCTTTCTGGTAGAAACCAAGTCTGGGAGTAGGGTAGGTGTAAATAAATAGTTTAATGGCTGAATTAAAGAGTTATGCATTTTTGTTTCCCTGAGGTGGTCCTGTCACACCAGAGATCTACATTACATATCTGCCAGTCTGATCAGTTAAAATGGCAAATACCTGATTTGCTGGTTTCATTTGTCTCTGAGTTAGAGGAGAAGAAGGTTTTGAAGTTCACAAGTGATACATATACCTCTCCTTCTGCTTTCCTATGGGATCTGAGAATGAATGTGTGCAGAAGTCAGAAATGTCCACTCTCTTCATATATCTCATATGTTGCGAGATACCCAACTTGACATGTGTGTGACCTGACCTTTGGAGATAGTGAACTGTGTTGTTGCAATTGCCATTGAAACAGAAAAAGATGCTTCTTCAGAAAAAGAGTATCTCTAGCTCTTTTTTTCTTTAATATTGAATTAAAAATTAAGGAAAATCTATGTGATAACCGACTGACTGCAAACTGAATATATTATTTATACATTTCTCTAGAGACTTGGGGATTAATAAATTCATATAAAACACATGCTCTCAAAAAGGGAAGTCTATTTTCATACGACTTCAGAAATCTAGCATCCTCCTGTTGGTCATTCCTTAACCAAGAAATGACCTTTCCTGAGACAACATAACAACTGCATTTCTCTATTCTTAGCATTGCTGTGCAGGTTTCAGTAATCTGGTCACATACAAAAGATCAATTTTTTAGTCTATTGGACAACCTCTGGGCTGGGTAGGATTTGTAACTACCCTTGGGCTACTGGGGGCAGGTTTGACCATTTGTGTGAAAATGGTCAACATCTAATTGCTTTTACAAAATTTGTTACAGAACCTGGAGTTCTGTCATGTATTTCTCCAAATGACCTCTTTAAATCAAAGTCTTCCCTCTCCAGGATGCCTGAACCTCCAGGAATTCGCTGTAAATGAATAGTATCATTAGCATGACTTGTGACTTCTGTTCGTCTGTTGTCTGTTCTCTCTGTTGCAAAGGTCAAGGCTGAAGTTTCTTTATCAACATGGGATTTACTGTCTGATGCAAAGATTACTCACAGCATTATTACTTGGTGGCTAGGGCTTGAAAGAGGGTGTGAACTCAGTTTGATTGACATGAATATATAAGTAGATAAGTCCTAGGCAACAACTGAAATATTTGTAAGAATTAATTGTTTGGAAAGCTTCCAGATATACTCTTAATATGTTACTTTGCAACTTTTTTTTTTTTTTTTTTTTACCATCAGTTTGTTTGTGCTGTCATTTTAAATTTCCCAGACAAAAGCTATTAAAAAGACTTAAAAAAATCATTATTTTTGACGGGTCAGACAAAGGAGTTTTGTTACACACTGCAGACATAAGCGTAATTGATGTGTAACTGATACAAGCTCATGAATCAGTTGTGTATTAGTCTGTTGCAGGCCTATGAATGAGCCATGACATTTGTAAAAAAAAAAAAGCATTTATTAAATCTCTCCAACAAGCCACCTTTGAGATCTTTTATTAAGAGTGCTGACTTCTGTGTACTTCTGTCGCAATATGTGGTTTGTAGAAGCTTTCCCTCTTGTTTTGTAGAACAGAGATTCCAAAGAATGGCACAGGGTAAAAACTATTCCAAGGAATGAGTGCAGCTAACTGGAGCTGACAAGTGTGTAAACCAGGCTGGGTTTTTCCTTTTCAGCTATTGTAATATCTTTATAATTACTGCTTTGTAGTAGATATTTCAGTAATTGTGCAGCTTTATAAATATTTTTTAAAAGTGGTTTGCTTTTCAGGTATCTGTTCCTGGGTTTAAACCAGTTTTCTTTTGTATATCCACACAGACAATGTTTTTGCTCAGGAATTTGTGATGCTTAAACTCAGTTTGATTTCTCCTTAGTTTTCTAAGGAGTCTGGGAACTGAGAAGGGGCAGACTATTATCTTAGGCTTGGGGATTTTTGTAGCCTTGCAACATCTGAGCTCGATGATTTCTGCTTTGATGAGGAACTAGGTGAAACCCAAGTATATTTTACTTATAAAGGAATACTTTTATAAAGCCTTGCAGTACCTTGTACTCTCTTGATAAAATGGAAAATGGCAATAGTGTAGATGACTACATGGCAAATGCCTCAATCATGAGGTGGTGAAACTTGAACATAAATTTATTTGTTTTTCAAAATATATATACAAGGGAGGCTTTTGTTTGGGAAAATGTTTATTAACCACTGAAAAACTTGCCGTAACCAATTATAAATAAACTCTTTCTGATGTGAAGAAGTATATGTATTACTTGTACAGTTCCCTAAAATATGGTTTATATGTGGAATGGCAGGCAAAAGTCCCCCAAAATTATCATTACTTTTGATCTAAGTTGTAGTATCCTACAGTTTTTGCATAGTTAATTGTTTCTCTTTATACCTTCCGAAACAGCATACAGACAATCAAGATGCCAAGAGAGGAAATACTGACATGATTATTTAGATGTTCTTGTATGTGTGTATAAATATGAACTGGAAAAGCTGACTGGTAGGAGTAACTGGGAAGACTTTGACTTTTAAAAATAATATATGATAGCAGGAGAACACTTCGTTCTTTCTACCTTAGGAAAGAATGTGCATAATCAGAAAATGAGGAAAATATATGAAGACAATTCTGTATATGGAATTAATCTGCAGAACTCCTTGCCCCAAGAAAACAGTGAGAGGCAATTGCTGGTATGTAGTAATAGGAAAATGCACATATTTTGCACACATTTTCATAGAATCACAGAATGGTTTGTGTGGGAAGATCATCTAGTTCCAACCCCCTACCATGGGCAGGGATACATTCCACTAGACCAGGCTGCTCAAAGCCCCATCCAACCTATCCTTAGTATTTTCTTGAAAGTAAACTATGATTCTGCCTGATGTTG